AAATATATATACTGATCGAATTGAGTAACCTCCTCCTTTTTCGAAGTCGGTTAAAAACTACTAACCAGTCAAAATAACTGGTTTCAGATTTCTCATTTTCTATTACAGAATTTTATTGTCGTGATTTTATGGAAATGTTTGTCATATTTTGTTGAGGTAAAAACTAGTTCTATATGTTACTTGATGCTTTAGTATTTATTTATTTCCCTTTTCATTTTATTTTTCATATTTCGATAAACGAGCATTTAATGTCGGTAGTTCTAGTGTTAAGTATTGTTACCTTCTGAACTGGCATGAACTAGTGCTGCAACCAACAGGCACGCCAGTGTAATGATCATGAACTTGATGTTGGCCATACTGTAGCTTGTTTCGTTGTTTTGGCTGACGAAAAAGTTGCCGAAACCGGAAATCTAATCTTTCTTCCTGCTTTCTGCTACTTGTACCTTTCATGGATGTACGTTCGTATTTATATACTTATCGGCGACCTCACGATAAAACACTAGGTCATTAATATTAAATACTTAACGATAACTTTAATTGACCAAATAATAACAATATTCAAATATGTCCTTGGTTTTCGACAGATCAAAGAGCGTTTACTTTTATTTTACATAATTTATGTGTCGAGTAAGTGTTTCCGAACTATGTGAACCTTAAACTATGGATTTTTCGATATTTACATTATCGCGTGTGTAAAAACTGTTAATTTATGGGCCAATAAGAGAATCATAAACAATAATCGCAAACAATTTTAATTGCACTGCATTATAACTTTTTTTCTTTATAAAGAACCTCTTAGGGCCTCGGGCAATGCTAAATATTGTTTTCATGAAAAACTGTGAAAGACTTCTCATGAAAGCGTGTTTGTATGGAAAACCATCCAAGTAAATGGATTTGGGTGCGATAATAATTAATAACAGCCTTCTTAATTTATAATAAAAAATATTTTTTACATTTGAGCGTCTTTAATAACCTAGGAGTAACTCACTAACTAAGGCAGTTAGGCATTGTTTTATCATTTCCAAGTTTTATTTCGCACTTTTTGATGCAACGAGTTAGTAGGCCAACATAAGATGGTTCTCGGAACACAGTATAAATTAATTTATTAATTAAATTCATTAATAATATATACTGAAATTAATTACACTAATTATTCCGATGCTTTATTAGCTGTTGACAATTTTACTTTCGATCTTATTGTAATTAGAACAGTTTACAATAAATAGATTTGAAAGTTTTGCTAACGTGACCACTAGAAAAATATTATCTACAAGCACAAATTGTTTTATCCCGATTGATCCATCCAGGAAAAAAATTGTACTCATCGAATTTAGCAACATTGTTCATTTCGGAATCGATTAAACAATCGTTTATAGTATTTAATAATTATTTGAACCACCAATGAAGATTTCACGCGAAAAAAGGAACACTGGAAAAAATTATTATTTACTTTGTAATCTGTTTTTCATTGTTTAAACAACTTTCACAATTTTTCAGATATAATTAAAAGTACCTTTTTTCTTAAAATATTTCCCCTGTCTTTTACAGTTTGCGAATTATAGAATAATATCGAAAAATAGATGAAACTTTAGAGGTTAATTGTAACCTCTTCAAGTGAACTTTGGCAAAAAATAAAAATCAAGTGATATATTTATATATGTTACATATATTTTTACCTTTTCAAAATTCCTTGAATTTTTGAGTTGGAGATGTATCTATGCCAGACATGTTTTTTAACAGTATGTTCCTTTTAAGTATGTTCTTTTCTAAAATGTGTTCCTTTCATTCCATTTTCATAACCGGCATGTTTTCTTGCTGACAATGAGTAGCAAATTTTCTTGAAAACTCCTCATCTTCGTCAGATTTGATACGCATGCTTTCAGTTATGTAAAACTTGCAATCATTTATCAGCATATACTGCACTTTACTTTTCAAATATCCCCATAAAAATAAATCCAAATGGTATAAATCGAAGGATTAAGGGTGCTGTTTAATTGATCCTCATCTGATTCACCTTTGATCGAACGCCGTATATAATATTAAGATTACCAAAACAGTCGAATGACCTCTCTACAAATTTCGAATTATAAGTTACACAGTTTGCTGAGATTATTTTCCCGAAATGTGCGTTGATTTTCATCGAGATAAAAAATTACATTACATTAAGTACATATTATACGTCGACAGGTTTAGTATTAAATACTTTCCTACATTACATATAAAATGAAGTGAACCATAACGCTCATGCAAACATTCAACGAAAAAGAGGTATTACTGATTTTGAACTCTTAATTGCATTTTGTGCAATTGCAACGTTATGAGAAAAAAATTGCAACAATGAAATTTGGAACTGGAACAAATTTTATGTATAGCTACTGTGAAAATTTTATTTTAATTGATAATAGGGTTTCAATAGTTCTTTCAGTATTATCACGTGCTTGTGTTCCGTGAGTTGCAAAAAAGTCATTCAATGAGAACACTGAAATTGCTAAGGTAATTTGTTGTAAAGTAATTTTCTCTCATTTACATTCTGTTACTTCCCGGCTATATATAACTAATTGTAATATTAAAAAAAAAAGTCGAAAATGGCAAATTACAGACTGCTTATGTAGTATGCGTGGCTTCTAAAATGAAATTTTTAAAAAATTTGCAAACGGCGGTAGCTAATGTTTACAATATTCAACATGAAATCCAAAGTACGCGCAATGAAAAGTTAATTATCTCTAAGTACAAGTACTATAAAAATTAACTAAATCTTTTTAATTTTCCAAATCAATTTTAATTATTCAAACTTTAAACCCGGATTTTATTGGTACTCGAATATTGCAATTTTGGTTAGAGTTCTAACTGATATCTAATTAATTGTGAATACAATTATTTCGCAATATTATATAATTAAAATTCATTAAATGCTATATTCAAACACTAATACCATATCGTGAAACTAATACTACATTTGTAGATATTCAAGTTCTCGGAAATGATTTTAACGAGGAAGGCAATGAGGATACAAACGAAAATTATCTATATGATAAAGTAACTACTTGTAAAAACCTATTTAAATGTAAATTAGAGCAGTTTATGTTACGTCCCGATGAAAATTTTCGAATTTTCTTATTGCGTTTCTTTCCGTCTGTTCGAAGGTAAGTTGACGTTGCAATAGCACATGAAGTCATTCTTGTTGTGAAGCTGTCGGGTTTTTGAGAAATATAAATTTATTAACTCTTAGACATTTGCGTTTGTATTATTACTTTAATGTTCATCCTCGCATTTTAACCAGTTAACTGTGGCGATCTTTTTGCAAAACGCGCACCAGTATGAGTCGCGATAATCAAGCGATGACGAGTTAGCTCTCAAAAATTTATGAATCCATCTCAAATCATTTACACTTTTTATTTGTTTATTTCATTTCGTGTCGACTTCTGAACATTTTAAACATATTACAATTCACGAATATAATTTAGTTTTCGCTAAAATTACAATTTAAATATCAAATTGTAACAAAATTTTACGCATGACGGGTATAGTCGTGATGACACAAAATTCTGCCGCATCTCCATGACGGACATAGTCGTTAAACACAGTCAACTGGTTAATTATCTGGAACGCCGTATCGAGCTTGACACTCACAAACTGTCTGAAATCGGAAAACTCTTCGCTCTTCTAGTATCGGTTTTGAAGCATCTGTAACATCCCTGAAGAATTTTTAAACTTTTATTGCAGTGTCATTTCTTCAATTATCGACTGTATTTCTCCCTTACCGACCGCGACATTAGACAAATCGAGTATCATAAGAATTCAGTAAACTGTCGGTAATAAATATATAATTCTATAAGGAAAATTCCGCAATGCTATGTGTTTACGTGCCGCGAAGCTCGCCCCGAATTTCCTGGAATTCTCGCGTAGTTTTAGAGAAGGATAGAAATACATTTTACAATTGCGATATTATTAGTTATTAAAAACTATTAGCTAAACAAATCAGTTAATATATATCAAGCGTACTAATATTATGTTATCCGGAAATAGAGTCAGATGTTAGTTTATTGCAGTATATATTGTAAATTATAATATTGTTCAATGGAATGTTCTGGAAGCATCGTATGTATAAACATTTAGCTCCGATTCGTATAGAAGTCGTGCACAGCGTATAGAAAGAGATAGAAAATGCAATTTCATTAAAACACTATTAAATTACTATTTTTATATCAGAAATGTAAACCATAATGTAGAATGCGATATTAATAATGTAATTAAATCGGTTGTTTGTACAATTAATGTCTAATTACGAATTTATACGATAATTATATATTTCGACGTTATGGGGGTTTTCCGAGAATTCGCCAGGCTGGCGAGTATAAAAGGCCGAGCGGAGCTCGCCAAAATCGCAGAACAGTTTTCGAAGTCGAGCCAGCTAGAAGTCTTCAGATAAGTATAACCGGAACAGTTTTCGCTGTGAAGAGCCGCAACGATTCTTAATACTTGACTGGTAAAGCGGGTATACGCCATTTGGATACTTGGTCATGGGTCGTTCTAGTAGCTAGCTAACGCAGGCTCCCCATTCAAACGGTCTCGTATC